AAACATTTACACATTCCTTTTTTTTTAACTCAATTTAATATTTTAAAAATATGTATTTCATTTTTGATATTCGCATAATTTTCCATCAATATGTTTGCCATAAAACCTCATTTATTTTAAATGAATTATTATTTCAATAAAACAAAATCAAAAAAGTACGTGTGCATTTCTTTCTTTTTTTTAATTGTTGAATGCATTTGATTTTGTAGTCTTGTATATTTTAGTTTTGAACTGATAAAAGTTAAATAAAAACAATTCGATTTTAAATATTTTACATTGAATAAAAAATTTATCAAAGTTAAAAATATAAAGAAAAAAACATATTTTAATCAAAGAGTCATTAAAATTTAAGAAAATTTATCCTATTTTAATGATATAAATATTGCATTTAATAACATCAGGTTATTGTAAAGGCACAGAAAATATGTCTTGATATTAATCTACTTAAAAAAAAATACGTACAAGAAAAAGAAAAATAGAATGTGACTACCAATATCACTATGTTTGTATCTAACTGACCAAAATAATAAAAATCGGCTTCTATTTAAAGTAGTTTTTAATTTTAATCGGTTTCTTATCTTGAATTTATTTTAATTATATTTATTATATGGACTTTTATTTAGCAGTATTTATTATATTAAGCATTTAAAGCAAAAAAACGATTACTTTTTATTAATTTTAACATAACATATTATGTATATATTTTTAATGACTCCTCGAAAAGAACAAAATGTAAATTATATTTTTACTTTATGATAAAATTTTTATTTTTAATAAATATAACACATTTATAAATTTTTAAATACAGAAAATTAAAAAAAAATCTATATTTTGTTTATTGATGCTTGCATTTTGCGAGTATATGTAACTATTAATTTTAAATTGTTTTTATTTTTATTGTAGATAAGATAAGGGAAAAATAAATAAAATTTTTAATAAAAGATATTAATTATGTAATTGAAACAGAATATGATAAAAAAGCAGTATATATATAAATGATGAAGTAATTACTTTTTAGTTAACTGATAATTTATCTATTTTTTTCATATTAATTTTATTTATTCACTTTTTTCTTGTTGTATATAAATATTAATTAAAGGCATCTATTGTTTTATTGTATTATTATTATTCTTTTTTAATAATTCATTCAATTTGTATATAAATATTTGCTTTATTTAATTCTATTATAATATTTTAATTATCACTATTGTAACAAAACAAAAGATGAAATGCATTTTTGTTTTTTTTTTTTTAATTTTTCTCTGTTTGTTTTATATATTTTAATGAACATAGATAAGATCTTTTTCTAAAATTATATTTTTTTTATAATTTAAATAATTTTTTTTTGTAGTATTTCGGTAATTTTCGGGTATTCAATTATTAATTTATATACATAATATATAATATATATATAAATCTCAATATTAGAATGTTTCAAATTCTCATTTCATTTTTATTTTTGAATACATTTTATTTAGCCTATAAAATGGACTGGTTTTTGTTTTTTAAATATAAGTAATATGATATTATTATTTTGTTTAATATTACCATAACAGATTTTTTCTATTTGTGTTATTTATACATATATTTTTTTTATTATACAGAATAAATATTTTACAATATCTATCATTATTATTTAGTATTTTCTTTTAATAAATTTTAATATTTCCTCATATTTTTTTTTTGTTTTTTTATTACTCAAATTTTACTTTTAACACAACCATAATTTTTGAACAGAATATATAAGAACGGTTTTTCAAATACATGATCAAAATTTTATAAATTAATGTTGGCAAGAATTTTATATTTTTGTAAAGTAAATAATATTTATATGCACATAAAAATAATTTTTTTTTTCAATACAATAATTTAACATAACAGTATTTTTAAATAAGTACAATGCTTTTGCTTTAATATGCTGTCTTGAACAGTCAAATGAATTGTTTTTGAATTGTGTCAATTAACTAATTAGATATATAGATATTAGTAAGTTAATCGCATTGCATGGTAATATTTTTCTGGTAATCTTATTTCTTCAAATCAAAAATTATATTTATGTGATATAATACAGTGACTATTCGATCTTGGATTTGAAAAAAACCGTCTAATGTTAAATTTTGCAATGTTTTCTTTTTAGAATTTTTATAAGCAAAATAAAATTTATTGATTGGCCAGAAAACTTTTTTCAAAGGTGAATTTTGTATGTAGTAAATACTTTTTTTTTTTGAATTTATGAATTTGTAAAGTTAGAACGTTTTTGAATGGTTTTCTTCTGATCAATTATTTTTTTTAATTAATTGTGTTTTATAATTTGTAATAAAAAATCATAAAACTCATACTTATGTTCTCTTTTTAAAATTTAATTCTATTCATATTTACATATTTAACGGCTTCTATATGGATTGATGGTTTAAAATAAATAAAGGAATATAAACGAATATTATCTATTATTTCTGAGGCACCCGGTATTGAAATGTTTATTTATTTATTCAGTTTTTGTATTTAATTATTTTTCTTTAACTGGAATATGTTTTGTTTTAAATTGTGTATGCTTTATATGTAAGTGATTATTTATGTAAAATATTTTTTTTTGTTTTTTTTTTTGTATATTGCTTCTTTAAGATGATAATATGTATGTTTTTTTTTGCAAAATTTATATTTATAGTAGATTTATCATTGGTTATTATTTTTAGTTATTTTTAAACACTAAATGTTAAAATATTATATATATAGTATTTGTAAGCACTTGATATTTTGTACGTTGATTGAGATTTTTCTTTAATGAAACAAAACAAACACAAAAAATATATATATTTTTTTGAATAAAATAACAATAGAAACTTATATTTTTACAATTACAAAAAATAACATTTAAAAATTATTCTGAGGATTGTAAAATAAAGAAAAAACAATAGATTTATTGTGAGGTGAAATGATTTTGTCAATATGTAAGTTTTTAATATTTTATATTAAAATTAAAAAAATTGTATTGGTTACTGTAAAACGAATGATATGTTCAATTTTTAAGTTTATTAATTGAAACAGAAAAAGCAGACAACGAAATGAAAAATCAATAATATTTTCAAAAACTTGGTATTTGGTTGACATCCCTTTTTGCATTTTTATAATGTTAATCATAAAATTATTTCAATCCTCTGAATACACATTAATTAAATTATTTTATGATAAGAAGAACAGAATGACATTATTTGTAATAGTTTTTAAGGGATATTTAAATTGAAAAAAAATAAAATTTGCAATTATTATATTATATCGAACAACATATTGAAATGTATTCCTATTATATAATATTTCGAAAACTTAAAAAGTAAAATGAAATAATATTGACAATAGTAACAATAAGAATTATTTGTAAATAAGTCGGTTTATAATAAATTTTTATTTTCCTAAGTTTAAATCGTATATTTCTTTAATTATTTAGAATAAATATTCAAGGTGATTTTACTTAATTTTTATTTTCCAATGAATATTTATTTATACTTGGCAGGTACATGAGTTTACAATCATATTTATATATTTATATTTAATTATATGTTTGTTTTTTTTTTAATATTATAAAAATGTGTACATTTTTATTTATTTTAAATTTAATATTAACAGGAAAGTATTGTGCTTTTTGTAGTTAATTTTAATGAGATACATAATATTTATATGACTTTGTATGTTTGTTTCTTACTTGTTTTAAATTATTTAATAAAATTGATTATAATTTAAGTTAATATAATAATTTCACTTAGTTTAAACTAATTAAAATATATCGCGTTAATTTGTATTTTTTAAGTGATTTAATATTGCAAAAAAAAAATAAATATTCAATTGTATAATACATTTATGTATATAATAAGTTTCCAAGATAATTTTCCAGTCAAAAACGTTCATTTATTCAGTTACTTAATAATTATTAACCATTATTACACTATTTTTCTCATTTTAATGTTCTGTAAAAACATGTATGTAAGAAAAATCAATAATATAAAATCAATCTATTAGTTTTTATGTAATTATTTTCTAGCACCCTGAAAATCATTTTCAGTCATATTTTATTCTACATTAATTAACTTGTTTTTATTTTTAATCGGTTTAATTCTTCTAAGTAAAATGTAAAATGTTAACAGGAAACATAGCAAAATAATTATTTATATTAAATCTTTCATAGTTTTTAAAATAAATAATAAAATTAGATAAGAAAAAAATATTATTTAAAAAATCAATTTTTCATTTATGTGTTTTTAGTTTAAATATTTTTGTAAAAAAAATGCTTTTTTTATCGTTTTATATCTACTATTATGCATTTAGTTTGCAAATTATTTATATTTATTGCGTTTTAAATTGAATTTTATGAATTTTTCTGTGAATATAATTTTTAATTATCTATTGTTAATACAGAAATAATAAAAACTTAACAAAAACTATTTATTCTATTGCATTATATTACAAAATTTATTAATACCCAATACTCTTCTTCTTACTAAATATTTATTGACTATTCAAACTAATACAATAATTTATTTGATATCAAATCACAAAAGTTTGTACAACATAAAAATTTTGTATTTTTGACCTTACTAATGAATAAGTTTAAGTTGTCACTTAGCTCATTGAATAAATGAATAACTAAAAATAAAACAAAACACTTTTCTAATTAAAATAAAAAACTTTATGTTTTTTGAACAATATGTAAAAATGTCCAGCATTTAAACATTTGTATACATTTACACGCATTTTAAAAAAAAAAGAAAATTATATATTTTGCTTTAAGATATAGTTACTTAAATAAAACGTGATTTCTTTCATAGATAAGTTAAAAGTATTAGCCCATGACTATTTACTTTAACATTATTCTTAAATTATTGATAACAACTTGAATAAATCATATAGGAATATTTGTTTTTAACTAAAAAGAAGAGTTTACAAGGCATTAAAATATTTCATTTTAGATTTAATTTACGATATAACAAAATAATTCATTAAATTCAACATAATTTTTTAAAGTAATAATTTTAAAGTAAAAGAAACCATGAAGATATACATAATAAAAAAAATTATTTATGTTGTATCATTTTTAAATTTAAATAAGAAAAAAACAAATTAAACTTTTTCTATTGGGCGTGATTTTGTCCAGCCTGTAATTGATTGATACCAATTTCTTGTTTATGTTCGCGTGCAATATGTCGGCGTACTGTATTATTTCGTGTGAATGTTCTCGAACAGAAGGGGCACGGTACTCGTATACCTTGATGACGTTGTCTTATATGAGCTCTTAAATTAGTCTCATATCCGTATAAACGGTCACAGTAGAGGCACTTTAATTTTTTTCCTAAAAAAAATAATAGAAATATTGAGTAATATTTTTTTAGAATTAAACTAAAAATTTTGGAAAGTTATTTACTACCGTCAGCTGTATTCACCATCCCACTATTTTTATTATTTAATTTGGCTGCATTCCAAACATTCAACATATCCGCTGGAGCAATTGACGCTAAACCTCCCGGTATTGCTGCATCAACTGCTTTTTGATAATCAATAGCTGTCGGGGTTGGTGGGGCTGTGTTTGATGTTGGCGGTTGTGGTGAATAAGCTGTTTCCATTTTAACACGTAAATCTTCGGCGCCATTCTATATTAGTTAGAATCAAATTTTAATTGATTAAAATAGAAAGTGTGAAATTTATTTTTATTATAACATTATCATTATTATTAATGTTATAAAATTGACAATATTAATAAAAGTGAATACAAAATCTAATTTCTTAACCAAAATCTTACATAAATTTTGACATTTTGAATTTAAATTTTTGTTAAATTAGTAGTTTGTGTGTAATACAATAAATAAGTGTTAGAGTCTAGATGTTTTAAAAATTAAAATGACAATTTGAATTTTAAGATTGAAAAAAATTCGTAACGAATAGGTTTGTATAACTGTAGTTGATATAAAATTAAATCTTCAAGACTTCATTTTTTTCTTTATTGAGTCTTTATTTTATATTTTAAAATTCATATGGTGATTCGTGTAATCGTGTATGAAAACTTATGAAAATGATGAATTTTAATAAGCTTAAATTATTTTAGTCTAAATTATAATTTTTGAATTTAATGTAGAAAATTTTAATTTTAAATACATACATTAAAGGCATCTGTTCTAATTCTTAATGGTTAATTGTATATTTGTTGACATTGCGTTGATTATAAGCAAAATAATTATTCTTAAATTTAAAATCTTTTCTTATTTTAAGTTTTGTATTCACCAATTTTATTTTTACAATTACAATTAATAAAACAGAATAGTAATAAGATGTGATAGTAAAAAGCTTTGCGTTTAAGATATCTTATATGTAACTATAATTTTCAAGCTGTAAATAAAAGTAGAAGTATATATTTTATCCCCGATAAATAGGAAAATATTTACAACAAAATTAAAAGATAGAAATTTTGAAATAAAGTTCTATTTTTTACATAAATGTATACAAAAAATCTATTATTTGTATTAATTTTTAAACAAATTTCTACATCCATTCTCTGAAAGGACTTTTTCTTTTATTTAAAAAGAGTAAATGAAGAACGGAAAGAAAAACAAAAAATTTAAGGAAAAAAATACCTTAAACGCAAAACTATTTGTAGTGCTTTGACAATTATTCCTTACATCATTTGATTCAAGATCATCTTTATCATCATCGATGGGTTCGTTTTTGGTGGTACCATTATTCCTTTCAGGCCTATCGATACGATCTGAACAACTTGTTGTACTATTACCATTACCTGCCGTTGTTGTTGGTGGACTATGATTTTCATATCTGCTAATAATAACATAATTTATGCAATATATTTTATTTATATAGATAGCACAATACTTATTAAATAAAAATTTTAAAATAATTTATAGTTACCTGGATTGTGGTGAAGCTCTTTCTGATTGCATTGTATCCGCTTCTGTAGGTGCTGTTGATGATGCGCTACTTGACGGTCTGTATGATTTATTTAGTGGACTTGCACTTTCAGAACTACCTTTTGATCCGTCTCTTAGTACACTACCGCGTGTTTCTTGTTCAGGGAAAGGACTTCTGAAATGTCTTTTTCTTGGTGGATCGTAAGTTAATGGGCGATAAATTGAGGGAAGGTATGATGGAATACCACCTAAACTTGAGCTACTTGGATGCATTAATGAATCACATTCTTGCTTTAAGCTTCCTATAAATTAGAGTGAATATTGTTCGCATATTTATAAAATATCATAATTGTATACCTATATAGATATAATAACAATATAATAATTTACATGGTTATTATATGCAATAAAATTAAATTACAAAAAAAAACATCTATAATTTTGAATTGATTTATAAAATTAAAGTTCAATAAAAAATTACCTCCTACACCTCCAACACCAGAATTACCACTAACGCCGCTAGCCCCACTACCAACACCTCCAATACCACTGATATTGCTACCTTCATTTCCTCCTTGTGATGAAAGACTGTTACGACTATTATGCCGTCTGTTTGTAGGTGATTCAATAGGTGATTCGTGTGATTGTGATTGGGCGGCCGCTAATCTTCCATGTTCCGTTGATAATCCTTTAACTTGTAAATTTTCTGCTGACTTTAAAAAGCTGTTAAGTGCTTCTTGTGATACATGAACTTCACCTTTGTACATAAATTCTAATAATGCTGCCATATTTTCTGGTGATGTTGCCTCTAATATTACAACACATTGTCCATTGGTGGGTGCTCTTTCGAATATATCGGCAAATTTTTTCGAACATGCTGCCAAAATTAGTTTATGCGCTGTAAAAACTGTGCCTGTAAAAACATAAATTTTGTAAAATATTAGTTTTTATTGATACATATGTAAGTATATAGATTATATACATATATATAGGTGCAGATTATTACAAAAATATATTATGCTGTATCGAAAATATTATCCTAGCATATATATTTTCCTCAGGATATTAGAGCAAAACTGAAAAAATTCAATACCATGAGTAATCAATAGGTGTCAAATACATCAAACAAGGGACAGATACCAAGAATATTATTCTTAACATAAATATTTATACATTCATCATAGAACTTTCTAAATCAATCTGAGAAATTTCAGCTATAATTTGATTAAATAACCAAATGAAAAGACTTGAAAAAAGAACAAAACAGAATCATTTATCAATTATTTGCTTATGAACTGAATACTTATCAATTATTTAAGAATAATATGGCTTCACCATTTTATCTATGTATATACCCTGTTCATATAGCTTATCAATCATACTTTCTAGGACTCATCAGTTGATGTTACTGAAAAGTAATGAAGGTTTCAATTTTCTTTTTCTAAGTATTGATGTTTTCAATTTCCAATTTTCATTTTATTAAGAGCCAAATCAAGAGATCATGCTTTCACTAAGAGCCAAATTTTTGTTAGTAAACAATATCTTCAAGTGATGCGGCTTCAAAGAAATTAGTTTATAAATTTGAATAAGAGCAAAGTTAACTACTGAAAATTTAGTATTGACTACACCTCAAGTAAACAACTTATGACACAGGAAGTAATTTGAGGTCGAACCTATCTTTTAAGAACAAATTTCTTTATAATAAGTTTGCTTCAGTTAACTTTAATGTTTTATTCAAAATATAGAAAAGCTTAAATTTAGAGGTTTTTATATATTTATATAGTATTATGTGTGTATAGTATTGTAATTAGATAATAAAATTTAATTAGTACATTTATAATTATATAATACATGTGTAGACTCAAAATATATGTTACATATAATATATAAACTCGTATGGTTGCTCTTAATTGATGTTCTTTTTAGCATTGTTCCAAAAAAAATTTATACCCGCCTAAAACCCTAAAACCTAATTTCTATAAACACAGAAGGCTAACGGTAAATTCCACGCCATTAAAAAATGTATTAAAATCGAGAATTATGATAACCACTCTTTAAATTTATTTTTGTTTCACTTCAAAGAATGCACAAATAATTCATCCTAAAAATATGCAATTCTTGAAATAGTTTCGTATATGAATGAAAATAATTTTAATAGTGTAGTGGGTATACACAGATTGTTTCACAGATTTTTACCATTGATTTAACCCAAATTCATTTCCATTAGTTTCCTGATTTAAAATTTTTCCATGTCGTGTTCGCTTAACTTTAAAAATTAGATACGCACTGTATATATTATGTACGTACATTCGTATCTGCAAGCAGATTTTTTAATATTCATGTATACATACATATACTTGAATATACATATATGCGCATTTATGCGTTAGCAACTGGGTAAAATTGACTTTTCAGATTTTGAACAGATATCATTTAAAATACATAACACATACATACATATGCATGTAAGTATATATTCGTGTATATTTCCTATTACACCGCAATTGCGATCGTTTTGCGCAAAAGTAACAATATACTTTTAATTAAATGAAGTGCATAAATCATAATAAGTATTTTCAAATACTTATTATGTTAATTTAATATTGTATTCAGATATACAGTTTTACATGTCTATATATACACTTATGTATGCACATAAGAAAGTGTATTCGTATTAATAATATATTTGTAAATTTCGTTAATTTTTGTATTTCCATTCTATTTGGATTTCTAAAAAATTCTGTTTTATAGGTAATCAAATTCAGTATAGCATTCTACATATTTACATATACACATATTATGCAGATACTTACATATGTACATATGTACATGTACCTATGTATATGTATGTATATGAAAATAGTACAACTCACCAAAAAAAATACGCACGTAAATACATCCGCATATAAACGTAAATAAATAAATATGCACATACGTATATACATACATAAGTACGTATGGGTATCTATAAACATAATCAATATTATGTTTACATACATACATACATATCTATGTATATATAGAAGAAAACACTTGAGAACTTTCAAGGAAATTCACATTGCAAACTAATTCAACAATAAAAAACAGAAAACCTAGTTACCTACCTACCTAAAAAAAAACCAAATAAATTTAAAATCTAAATAACAAAATAATATTTAATTTTTATTTCTTTCTTTTCTTTTTTTTATATAAACAAAATTTAATACACAGCATTATGATAATCACCCAGTCAATAGTCAAAATGAATACGTACACATTTTCCCATATAATGTACATATATTATACCGTATACCTTCTAGCCTATTGTATACATACATGAATGTATGGAAGTTTATTATATTTTTTTTATTCACAAAAATAATTATGTATGTACATATGTATGTATACAAATTTGTGAACGTATCTAAAGAGCTCACAAAGAACAATAATAAAATGAAATATTCCGCATTTAAACAACATACCCTATTTTTTTTTTTTTTTAATTTTCTCTTCTAACCCCCCTTATTCCTCTTTCTCTATATACAAAAACACAAAAATATAGGTCACAAAATCGCATACAAACATATCACGATTGCAAAATAAACGATTTTTTGTTTGATTTTTGTTCTTGTAAATTCTTGTTTTCATTTTCTTGCTTTTATTAAAAAAAGAAGAACGAAAACAAAAACAAAAGCAATAAAAAATCTAAAAAAATTTTTTGGTAAAAAATATATTTTTCAGTCAATATAATCATTATCTAAAAATATATTTCATAAAAAAAAAAACAACTTTTAATGCACCACCATTAGTATTGGTTTATTAAGACAACCCCATCTACAGAGTGGTAGTAGTACACGCGCATTGTTTTTTCATTTTCTTTATTTAAGCTTTTATCCGTATAAGGAAAGGTGAATCTAAAATTGATTTTCCAGTAATTACCCATGTAAATGAAAGTGCAGAAGAATATTATGATCGCAAAAGGCTATCGATTTCAAAATTACGATTTATTTTATGGAAGAGATAACAACCCTATTATTAATTCCGTTAGTAGCCCTGAAATTCCGAAAAATGCGAATGTCATATTGCTAATTCCGAATTACTAAAATTTTTTAAAAAATTTACGCAAGTAGTAAAAATAATGTCAAAAATTTACGAAATTTTACGAAATAAATTTTTAAGTTTTGAGTTTAAGTTCCTTCAAAACAACTACCATGGAGGGAAATGAATTCATATTTGGTAAAAAAAATTTTTTTTGCACTTTTCAAAAATATTTAAAAACTAAAAAAATTGCAAAACCCCGTTTTTAAAAAGTATACAAAAGCATTTGAAAGTTGTTTTCAGAAACAAAAAAAATCAAAATAAAAATTTGACAGTATGTATTTGATTCTCCGAAAGATGGTGCTGGAATTGATGATTCAAAATCTCTACAAGTTGAATTTGTAATCATTCAATAGTCTGCGATCATTTCAAGTTCGTAATTTGCAGAACTATTTGTAAGACGAATGGAAATCATTACAGGCCAAAAGTTTGTAAATTTTAGCTTATGCAATTAGACAATAACAGATTGAACTTTAACTTATATGTTAGTTTGTAAATAAAACTTTTTGTTGCTGAAACGTTAAGAACTGAAATATCGCAAAACCATTTTTTTTCGTGTGTAATTTGTAAATGCTGTTTTTTAAAAGAAATACTATTATGTCTATAATAGTGAAAACTACCGCATAAATTGAAATACTGAACATTTCACATTAATTTTCTACATAAAAATGTGAAGCCAACTGGAGAAATAAATGTGTTTAGCAAAAAAAAAAAATAGGTAATAAGTAGATTTTAGAGAATGTTATTACGTAACAACATTTTGATGAAAAGTGTACACTATTAGGTTACAGATGACAACTTCAATATAATATTTCATACTGTACGTTTATGTTTCAACATGTACATGTGTTCAGCAATAATAAGGTATGTACTCGTATGTACATACATATGCTCATATATAATATACTTTTGAAATAATGAAGTAATTTTGAATTTAAATATTCTTTGATTCAACTAAATGATGGCATAAGTTGAATTGGTGGAGTTAATCATAAGGTTAATTTGCGAATCGGAGATAACCATTTTGAAAAGATGAAGTACAATTGAGTGAAAGAAATGCTGAAATGAAGTGTAAAAATTTATTTTTAGTGAAAAAGCAGGTAGAATTTTTTGCATACATATATGAACTTATTTTAATTTCCCACTCTCATAATTCTCATAATTTAATAATAGAAATTCTCATAATTGAGCGGGATAGTTTTCTGTATATTCATTTTCTTTTTTTGTATTTTTTATTTATACAAATGCTAAAATATATAAATTCGCCCGATCGACAAAAATTAATTGCGCTTTTTTTTTATAGTTTTTATGGTGCAAAGATAAAAATATTTGTATAATAATTATTTATGTTAATATGTTTACACATATACTTATATATATTCATAGGCATATAATGATAATGTATATACAAATATGTAAGTGTATGCGAACAATATGAGAACAAGGTATACATACAATAGGAAATACAAAGTAAAATTAAGGTATCAAAAAATTTAATTCTTGTTTTCTTCCCAAACACGTTTTTGTTTTCTCTTTCACTTTTATTTATACTAAAAAATATTTTTCTTCTCTTTTTTCAATTCTTAACGTATAAGCATTTTTGTAGTGGAATGAAGGCGCTAGCACTAGTAAAGATAAGAAAAAATTCTATTTTTTGTCGCATAGTATAATGAAAATATAAGATTAGGAAATAGATTTGTGACATTTTTTATGAATGAAATCAAATGGTTAAAAAGAAAATTTTTGTGTCTAATAAAGTATGTATTTTGTCCCCCGAATCATATAGGAAAATTCTTTTTTTTTTCTGTGATTCCGTCTTTTTTTCAGAAGAATAAA